ACGGCTGCATGTGTGATTCCTCTTTCTATAACTACTACAAGCAAAATCGCGAGGAGGGCATGTATCTAGTCTTTGTCTCCGAGAAAGGGGAGGCCGTTAAAACACCCCCAGAGATAGAATCAATCGTCGCACAATATTCCGACCTTTTTGAGGAGCCCACAGGCGTGGTAGAGAGGGAGGTAGTCCATGCAATAGAGGTTGTCCCAGGTAGTAAGGTACCTAGAGGACGAATCTATAGGATGTCTCCTGCGGAGTTGGATAAGCTCCGCCGCCAGCTCAAGGAGCTCACAGAAAAGGGATGGATTTGGCCTAGTACCTCCACTTACGGTGCGCCAGTCTTATTTGTCCCAAAGAAGGGAGGTACCTTGAGGATGTGCATTGACTATAGGGGCCTTAATGCCATCACCGTTAAGAACGCGGAGCCCCTACCCCGCATCGACGACCTCTTGGATAAAGTGCAGGGATGCAGGTACTTCACCAAGATAGATCTGAAGTCCGGATACCATCAAATTGCCATTAGACCTGAGGACCAACACAAAACCGCATTTCAGACCAGGTACGGTCTGTACGAGTTTGTTGTGATGCCCTTTGGCCTATGCAATGCACCTGGTACGTTCCAGCACGCTATGAACATAATATTTCATGATTACTTACACAAGTTTATTGTCGTGTACCTCGACGATATTCTTATCTTTAGTAGGACTATAGAGGAGCACGCTGAGCACTTGAAAATAGTGCTAGGTCTCCTAAGACAGCACCAGTACAAGGTTAACTTGGAGAAATGCGAGTTCGGTCGCACCAAGATCTTGTACTTGGGTCATGTAATCTCAGTGGATGGATTGAGGCCGGATGATGCTAAGGTGGCCAGCATACGTGACTGACCCAGACCTCAGACTGTTACTGAGGTGAGATCGTTTTGGGGGATGACGCGCTTCTATCGTCCGTTTGTAAGGAACTATCCCATTAACAAATCTAACTCGACTGGACACCCCGTGGGAGTGGACTAGAGAGTGTGAAGCAGCCTTCAGGAAACTGAAGTATGCCCTAACACACTACGAGGTTCTTAAACTTCCGGATCCTGATAAGCCATTTGTAGTGACCACAGACGCTAGCCAATATGGCATAGGCGCGGTCCTTGCCCAAAAGGAGGGGACCAAGTTGAGACCTATCGAGTACATGAGTAAGAAGATGCCATCTCAGAAACTAGCCAAGTCCACTTATGAGTGTGGGTTTTATGCACAAGAGGTTAACGGGGCATCTGGTTTTCAGGCCTGAAATTTCTGAAATTAGGGTTTTGGGCTCAAATTTCATGTTTTTTTGGAATTTCAAATTTTTGCTATATATGCATTTTGATAGGGTTGCCGTATATGAAATTCGGGGTTATTTGGAGTTTTAGAATTTGCGCTATTAAGATTTCTGAAATTTATGAAATTGGTCGAGTTTTTTTGGGGCCGAATTTCATGGAAATGCACCTTTGGCTTGCTGTTTTATATGTTTTTAATTGTTTTTTTTAGGGTTTTTTTCTGTGATGGGGTCGTAAGAAGTGCACTCTATAGATTGGTGTGAAGTGTTGTTAAAATGACTGTCTGGTTTTCTTATAAATGGGCCTGAAAAATGGGTGCTCGGTCAACCTGCTCTCGTTTTATGCCGTGTATAGAACGCTGGTACATTGGAGACACTATCTCCTTGGCAGATTCTTCTATGTGAGATCTAACCATGAAACCTTGCGCTGGATTAAGACACAGCCGGTACTCTCTAACACACTCAAGCGATGGATTCAAGTGATAGACATGTATGACTATCAACTTGATCCAATAAAGGGAGAGTACAACAAGGTAGCTGATGCATTGTCACGTCGGGCAAATCACCTGGGCGCGCTAGTGACTGAATTTGGCATATCTAACGACTTAACTCGATCATTGGAGGAAGCCTATCAGCAAGATTCAGTTATGTATGAGATTATTCGTAGGTTCCAAGCAAAGGACAAAAAAACTTTGGATGAATTTACGATGGTAGACGGCTTGTTGTTTCTTGAGAAGGCAGGGAATAAAAGATTGTGTGTTCCCAGTAGTGAGTCTTTGCGTAGTTTATTTTTATGGGAATGTCATGATGCAAATGGTCATTTTGGTTATAAAAAGACTGCAGCTAATCTAGTGCAGAAGTTATGGTGGCCCATTATGATGCAAGATGCAAAAAGGTACGTTGAAACCTGCCAGGTTTGCCAAAGGGACAAACCCAGGACTCAGGCTCCGCTTGGGCTCATCAAGCCCTTGCCGATTCCTGAAGGTCCTGGTCAGAGTGTGTCCATGGATTTCATGGATACCCTTGTGACCAGCAGGTTTGGAAAAAGACATCTTCGTGATAGTGGATCGCTTTTCTAAGTATGCAAGACTTATCGCTATGCCAGAAACTGCTAAGACCGACTATGTCATCAAACTATGTCTGGATAACCGGGTTAGGGATTTTGGACTACCTACGTCGATAGTAAGTGACAGGGATGTAAGGTTTACCAGCGAACTGCGGCAAACGACAGCTGAATAGATGGGTACCAAGCTCCAAATGACGTCAGGGAATCACCCTGAGTCAAATAGCAAGGCAGAAAAGATGAACCGGGTAGTACAGCACCTGCTTCGACATTATATTAAGCCAAGTTAGGATGACTGGGACGAGAAGTTACCTCTCGTCGCCAGCCTGTACAACAATGCGGTGCACAGTACTACTGGTATGACTCCCAACCAGCTGCATCTTGGTTGGAAGCCCAGAAGTGCACTTGACGTTCTACTACCAGAAAGGCAACCCACTGCAACACCTGACAGCATAGAGTTTGCTGTCAAGTATGAAACAGATGCTGCAGCAGACCGTTGAACATATTAGGAAGTCTCAAGATGCTATGATCGCATCGGAGAATAAACATAGACGGCCCTCTAACTTTCAGGTAGGTGATAGAGTTTGGGTAAAGTCATTTGAACTGGGTCAGGAGATGGGGATTTCACGAAAACTGATGCCACAATACTTTGGGCCCTGGGAGATCTTAGACATTGTAGGGGATCAACCGGATGGGCCTTCATACGTGATTCGCATCCCTCCACACTTGCGTACTTACCCTGTTTTCCATGCATCAAAGCTGGCACCTTTCGCTGTCATAAATCAGTTTCCCTCCAGGAGATCAATGCTGCCCCCAACCATGGATGGCGAAGTGGACATAGACCAGATCGTGGAGCATCGTCTGATGCCAGTTCCTCGACCACCGGGCAGAGGCCGCCCTCCTAAGCCAAAAATGCAGTACCGGGTCAGATTCAGACATCATCTGGACCCCAGCGAAGATCGGTGGTTCACCAGAGAAGAACTCATGAGAACTGGACCTCGAGTCATTGCAGGCTATGAAAGAGATCTTAAAGGGAAGATGCCTGCAGAATAGAAAACTTCTCAGAGGACTATCGAAGTACAGGAGGAGGGAATGCGAGGATATGGGTCCTCGGCAGGCCTAAGGGGCCCACTGCAGCATATGTGCCCGCCCTAAGTGAAGGCGGGCCTAACAAATCACGAGACGCCCTTGGCTGACAATTTCGCATTTGGGGTCCAGGCAGTTTCGTCGCGCCAGTTGGTTGAAGGGAAACACAGGCCGAACAGCGTGGAAATTCCCAGGCCTTCTAGGCCTTTCCGAAAGTAGAGGCCCTGGGCGAGATTCGCAGCCTCATACACAGACAGTTGGAGGCCCAACCGGATGAGGCCCAGTAGCTGCACTAGAGGCGCAGCATCCTGGGGCCTATCGGAAGCTTCTGGGCCCAGGCCAGTCCAGCCAGGCTGCCGAATGAGGCAGGCTCTTTCCATATAGGAAAGAGCTCGCTGCCTGGCCAGCCATTCGGGCACTCGCATGCTGGCGGCAACGCTGCTGGAGCTGAAGCTCGTGAGCTGCTGCTAGCGCTGAGCGGCGAGGTGCAGGCACGTGCGGTCGTGCAGGGAGCAGGGCGCTGCTGAGGGCAGCGCCATAGCCCAGCCTCCATAGCTGGCAGGGCTTGGATGTACAGAGGCGCAAGGGTGGTCTTCGGGTGTACAACCAAGGGAGACGTGGGAGAGAGTCAAGGGGGAGAGAGAAGGATGATGATGATGATGATGTGAGGGCACATACCTGGTATTGGCGATGGTTCTGCATGGGCGACATCTTCAAGTACTTCGGGTGCTGCTGACGTCAACAGTTGCATTGTCAATTAGTAGGCTAGTAGTAGCTGTGTAGGGAGTAGGCTGGGCGCCGAGCGCCACGTAGGGAGATAGAGACTGGATACCTATGTTGGTGGTGGCGAGAGCAAGCTCTCATTGACATTGACTTTCAGTGCTACGATTCTCCATTGGCGTTATATTGGTGCAATGCTTCTTCCTGAACACTGTGTTACGATTTGGCTTTCAATGTGATTGTGCAATCTGAATATTGTCAACTCGCTTCGGTTCATTTTCCTTGCATTAGCATTAACGAGTGGTAAAGGCATCCGGCAGTTATGCCCGAGATCTCCGGTTCAATTCCGTTTGGTTGTGGATGGGTTCTGGCAGTGTACTATGTCTCATTGTCCCAATTGCCCAGATTCTTTTTTCTGAATAGGTGACCGAGGACTGGGGGACAAGAAAAAACAGAACCCTTTTATTTTATTTTATTTTTAAAGGGTGACGGCCTTGAGATATCATCATTGAACTGACCGGCGCCCGGTACTTCAGAATGATTTAATTCTGATCAACTCATTGCATCTGGATTCAAACTTGGGTCTGTATTTCAACAGTTGGTGGGTGTACCAACTGATATGTTTACTGCTTTTTTTTCCTCCATTTATTTTGAAATATCCATCATCATGGACTGTTTCACTCCTCACACGGTAATAACTAACTGCAGCACGGGAAATAGTAAGTACTGTTGTGCAATTCCAGGAAAACAAAGCAAAGAAAAAAGAAGAAGAAGAAGAAAGAAAATGATAAAAGGAAAGGGTTCTCCTCAAGCACTGCTGCCTTGTTACCTGTTTCGCTGCGTCAATTTGGCTTATCGCGGTTTGGCCGAAATAATCTGGCAGCGGCACTTGCATATCAGAGCTGAAAAATGCAATTCACATGGGCAGCGAACAATTAAAAAAAGGACAGTAAAAACCTCAAAAAAGGATCGGATTTCAGAAACCAAAAAAATTGAAAGAAGGTGGAAGCAAGGAGGGAGCTTGGGGAAGAAAACGAAAAAAAAGGGAGACTATTTGAAAAAAGAAATTAGGCACAGGTATCTATAACACGACCACTGCAGCATTTTCTACCTTAGGCTCAAATAGAAGCCCACAAGTGAAATGAATTAAAAAGAGCGTATGCACTGTGCAGTACTATGCACACTTAAAATAATGACGTAAGTTGTATTTTCTGGGATATATCTGAATGAAATTAGACCCAAAATCAGTTAAGAAACTTAAGATGGTCCATTATCTTTTGTGAGTATGGCCTAAGATTGGCATAGTGGAGTGATGCCTTACCTACCTACCTTCAGGCACATGGGCCAATTGCTTTAGCCTTCGCCTCCCCCTTTCCTCCCCCTTTCCTCCCCCTTCCCTCCCC